CTCCGTGGCATAACAGCCAGCTACATCCAAGTCGAATCGAATTTCGAACTATCGTGTGACCACGCCCCCGTGATAGCAACACTAAGCAGATACCAAATAAACAACCCCAGCATGCCAACACTCAGTACAAAACAAACCAACTGGGATAACTTTCGCACGTACATCGACGAACACATCAACCTAAATCTAAGAATCAAAGAACCTCAAGAACTAGACGAAGCCACACAACATTTCACTACCACAATGCAAGCGGCAGGATGGTACTCAACCCCAACCATAGCCGATAAACGAAACAACGAATCAAACAACATCCCAGACTCCATCAGAGAGCTTGTTATAAAACGACAAGCGTGGGGCAGATGGCAGAGATGGAGAAATACTGAAGACTGGCTTACCTACAACCGATTGAGGCGAAAACTACACAGAGCGCTAACCAAAATGAGGAACAACACGTACGAACGTTGCATCACATCCCTCAACAAAGAAGATCATACCATCTGGAAAGCCCCAAAGAAGTTCAAGAGACCACAAACCGCAATACCACCAATAAGACAAGCCGATGGCACATTGGCGAAAAGCGATCCCGAAAAGGCGACAATATTTGCTGACCACCTCAAACAAGTGTTCTCACCCCTCCCAAATATCAATGGCAATCAAGAAGAAATAATAAACTTCCTAGACGTGCCTTGCCAAATGGCACCACCAATCAAACCGTTCACTTCAGGAGAGACACAACGGGAAATCGAAAACCTAAACGAGCACAAAGCACCCGGTTACGAGCTCATCACAGCAGCCAAACAGCTCCCACGAAAAGCGATAGTGCTTCTAACAATCATCTTCAACGCTATGATCAGACTGTCGTACTTTCAGCCAACATGGAAATTTGCGCAGATCATAATGATCCACAACCCCGGCAAACCACTTAATGAAAAAGCTCATACCGCCCAATCAGCCTCTTGCCAATCTCATCAAAAATATGTGAAAGACTGCTACTAACCAGACTACAAAAAGATGTAGACTTATCCACTATCATTCCTGATTACCAATTTGGCTTCAGGAAGAAGCACTCAACAATACAGTAGTCCCACAGAATCGTAAACACAATAGCAGCTAGCCTTGAGGAAAAAAAGCTATACACAGCCGTGTTTCTGGAAGTTGCCCAGGCCTTCGATCAATAAGGCTCCTCCTGGCCCGTACTATCTCATACTAAAGTCCTATCTAAAGGAAAGACATTTCCAAGACAAATACAACTGTGACTATTCACAATGCCACCAGATACAATCAGGAGTACCACAGGGCAGTGTTCTGGGCCCCTTACTATACCTAATATGTACCGCAGATCTCCCCACAACAACCAAAACAACAGTGGCTACATTTGCGGACGACACCGCAATCCTAGCAACAAGTAACGATCCAATAAGAGCCTCGGAAAATCTCCATCAACACCTAAATCTACTACAGCACTGGTTCCACAACTGGCAGATCAACATAAACCAGAACAAATCGGTCCACATTACCTTCACAACAAGACGAATAGTATGCCCACAGGTATCGATAAACAACATTCCCATACCAGTTAAAAACGAAGTGAAATAAGTAGGTCTACACCTAGACCAGAAATTGACATGGCATAAGCATATTAAAACCAAACGATAGCAGATAAACCTAAAACTAAAGGAAATGCCTTGGCTCCTGCGACAAAAATCTAAACTATCCATGAACAATAAACTACTCCTATACAAATGCATTGTTAAACCAATATGGACCTACGGCATCCAGTTGTGGGGTTGTGCTAAACCGTCACATACAAAAATCATACAGAGAATACAGTAAAAGATAATACGAGCAGTCGCAGATGCACCCTGGTATGTGTCCAACTTATCTCTTCACAACGACCTCCAACTCCTTTTGTCAGCAACGAGATTCGCAGACTGTCGAGACTATATAGCGCACGACTAGATGGACATAGCAACAAACTCATAGCGGCCCTGAATACTCCGCCAAAGGTGCCAAGGAGACTAAAACGGCAATGGCCTACTGACCTCCCCGAACCCGCTGAAGACACAGAAACCAATTTTATCCATCTACAAGACCGATAGGGGATTCATCGGAGGATGAATGCTCCACTCATGCCACTCACCCACAAATTTACTTAATGCTCCACAAATAAAAGAGCAGATTGTAAATACGCAGTCAAGAAAAAAAATCATTTTGTATTCAGAATGGTCTAAAAAGGGTGCGTTATCGCCATGACTTTTCAATTGTTCTTTGGAAAATGCCATTAGAATGGCCAGAGAAAGAAGTGGGACTGAAATTAAATGCGATGCATCAGCTTGTTCTACACTGACGATTTAAATTTTGGGGAGTAAAATAGATGCTATAAAAGAAAGCAGCAGGTATAATTCATGCAGTAGGGAAATTCGTCTAGAAATAAATGCTGATGAAACGAAACATATGTTGTTGTCCTGTCACCTTAATGCAGGACAAAATCATAATCTAAAAACAACTAACATATGAATTAATTTCTAAATTTTTCTTGTCTCAACAAAACAATTATGAAAACTCACTCACGCTTCATCTTGTAACAAATGAGTTTATTGACCTTGTAGTATTACAACGCGCTGTGAATGAGTTTTGATAGTTGTTGTGTTGAGACAGGAAAAGTTAAAAACAATTCATAGAATAACACAGCAGGATGCATTCCTTGAAGTAATTAACATATGCTTTGAAAATGTGGCAAAGTTCAAATCTTTGGGAACGACAGCAGCAAATCAGAATTTGATTCACGACGAAATTAAGAGCAGTGCTCACTACCATTCAGTTAACAAGCTCTTGTCTTCTTATCTGCTGTCTGTAAACTTGAAAATTAAATTATACGAAATTGTAATTTTAAGTTTTAAAACTTTAGTCGAATTTTAACAATTTTAATGGCATTTTAGTTAACTGCAATAGAAAGTGAATCAGTGTACGGTGAATTGACTAACGTTAGCTGGACATAACCGCAACATTAATACGGAACAACGCAGTTACATGTGAAATGCACAACCGATATTCAATGCAGGTAACAGTTTTGGCGAGTTGAAGTACTTGATGATGGCCGGTTGGGGCCGAAACATGATGTAAAAAGTGAAAATTCTAAGGAATAAAGTGGCTGCATTATTGACGGGACTGTAATGTAAATATTCTATGTGAATGTTACGAAAATGTAATTTTACCTGTAGTTTTGCAGGAATGTGAAACTTGCTCTCTGATATTAAGGGAGGAACACAGAGTGAGGGTGTTTGCGAAGAGTGTGATAAGGAGCATACTTGGACCAAAAGGGATGAAATAATGGGAGGTCTGAGGAAACTGCATAATGAGGAGCTTCATTATTTGTCCTCGCCAGTTATAATTACTCGTAGATTGATCAAACAAAGGCGGATGAGATCTGCAGGGCGTGTAGTGGGGATGAAAGGGGGGAGGAACGCATATAGGCTTTTGATTGAAAAAACAAGAGGGTAAGAAACAACCAAGGAAACTTAGACATAGATGGAAGAATAATACTGAAAGGAATCTTACAGAAATGGGAAGGTGGGGGCTATGGGCTGTATCAACTGACTCAGGACAGGGACCAATGAACTTGTGAACACGTCAATGAACCGTCAGTTCCTACAAGATATTGGGAAATTCTGGAGTGGGTGAGCGATTGGTAGGTTATCAGGAAAGTTTCGGCTTCATGGAGTAATTTAGTTAGCTCTAGTATGAATGTATTTGGATGTCTGAAAAGGTCAGTGAAAAGAACAAATCGCAAGCTCTCGAGTGTTAGAACCGAAAGTCTGTTACTTTACATTTATTCCGTAACCAGTAGAGGAAGTATGGATGCAGCATACGTCCCTCGGTTCTTACCACGTGTTTCTGCTCATTAAGTCATCATTAGGTATCTGAATTTTCACATTAACCTCTATCCGTCTGCTTGGCTGGTGCTTACATTTTGGGATGTTGTTTCTTACAGTATTGTGTAATGCGGTTATATGTAACGAAAAGTATGGGTCTTCACGGCCTGTTACAGGGATAGCTTCACTTACCTTATATTTACTTTTACCTCTACGATTAAATACATATTAATTGTTAAAATGTGGAAATTAGACATATATAAAAAGCGCTATTTTTGTCTGGATGTAGTAATTGTGTGTAGATGTGTTTCTTCTACTGACAAAATTTCTCTTCAGGGTTCTGCGTGGTCTTGTACTGACGTAGTATGTGTTTGTTGGCTTGTTGGTATGTGACTGCGTTTTATCCATGTTTATGATTCTTGTGTTTTGGAGAAGTGTATGTCTTGCATGTGGTGGTTGTGGTAAGATTCAGAACCATCGGATAGGAGGCACGCGATCTCGGTTTGTCTGCACCATGTGTAGACGAGAGAAATGTCTGCCCCTGACGGAAATCGAACTCTGATTAAGTCCATAAACTAGTAACTATACTGACTGAGCTATTCCATTGTTAGGTGGGCTAACGTATACTCGAAATATTACTTCAATTGAAACCGCTAAAACCGCTAAAACAACATCTTGGAAGGCAAAATTGATGACAATTAGTAGCAACAGTACACGGCGATAAACAAGAGAGCACTAACCCACGGAAGGGGGGTATACCAACTCATGTTGAAGCATGTAAGTGTCTCAGTCTTCAAGGGGGGCTTACATATACCGAACCTTCAATGAATCGCTTCGAGATGCATTCCTGCAGATTCAGTTTCTGATCGCTCCGCGCAATTTTCGTTCTGTCATTTGTTATCTATTTTTTAGAGGTTTTTACGTTTCTCAGATTCTTCATAATTAATTTAACCATAATATAGAAATCCAAGGTCGAGTAAATTGATAGCTTCACTATGTACTGGAATTAGACGATACGACAGAAGAACTGCCACCTATCGGTTGAGACATAAACCGGATTCAAATCAGACTGGAATTCTAAGGTAACATATATTTACACGGGATTCTTCAAACAGTGGCAATACTGACCTGCTGAGGTTAAAGATATGCCCGTCCTTGATGTTGCGACGGCGCATGGAGGCCACGGCTTCTTTGGTACAGAGGCACAGCGCGACCACGTTTACTTCCAGTAGATGTCTCCACTCATCAGGGCTTCCCTCTGCAAGAGAAAGACACTACGTGATAGTCTCCAGCAGCTACTACATCGTGACAGTGGTTTGGCTCAGTTTGGCAGCAAAACGAAACTTTCATCAAGATGAATGAAATAGAGAATGTGGTCTTGTATTCAGGAACAGATGTAACGAACTACAATGAAGATGTTTAGCAAGCACATTTATCTCTGCAATTTGTGATGGAAGATTTGATATTACATCCACTTTTGTCTAGGGTTCGAGAGCAGGTTCGGCAACTAAGCTATACAACCGGATTCTCGAGATTTCATTCGAGTGTTAGCAACTCACATGTGAAAGACATCGCGTTGGTGCGTAGACCTGAAAACCAGGAAGTTGACACTTGCATTGCAGTTGTTACTTCCATGATAGATTACCGATACCCACGTAGGCCAGTCGCGGATAAATTTTATGTTTGGCTGAACATCATAATTTGTACAGTGCAAGTCTGAAAGCTTGAAATGCTTGTAACATCTGAGGAAAGGGACTACAGGTGCACTTTGTCAGGGCCAATGTCGCTACAAGAATTCGGGATACTAAAATCAATCGTGTGGCTTCCAAATTCAGTTTCATTGCCAGCCACAAGTAAAAAACGACCAAATGTTTTCGAAATTGACTAGTTAGAAAATCGTCCCGCAGAGCACGAAATAAGTAAGTAAGTAAAGTAAAGGTATCCCTGTAACAGGCCGTGAAGGCCCATAGGATTGTGAGATGTTGAGGCTCCCACATTTTCTAGACAATCGGCTCACAGATGGCGGTGAGGTTGTGAGCCTTACGCGCCGGCCGCCCTTTATCCCCAGGAATAATCCTGGTACTGAGTCGACCCCAGGGCCATAGTGCGGCTGGAAGAATTAGGTAAATTGAAAAAATCCACCTCATTGGGATTCTATACCGCGACCTTCCGGCTTGTAGCATAGTGCCTCAACCAACTACGCTACCGCGTGCCCCCACAAACTAATTAAAGAGTCCAATATCTAAACAAACATTTAGCGAGTTAGATATTGGAAACGAATTTTACTCGCAATATGCATGGTTATGCAAGCTGCCGCGTCGCTAGGGTGACGTGCTGGGCAACTTAGCCACAACTCAGTGCTCTGTTTGAACTTTGAAATCTCATTCATGTTTTTGTAAATTATTCTTTAGAATAAATTTCCGCTGCTGCCCGGGTTAGATCCCGGGTCTAGTCAAGTGGGATTTGTGGTAGACAAAGTTGCGCTGGGGCAGGTTTTCTCCCAGTAGTTTGGTTTCCCTTGCCAATCTTCATTCCACCATTTGCTCCACAATCGCCCTCACCTATCGTCTGGGGCTGGTACTACAGGCCAGATGTGGGCGCAGTACAAGGGATTTAGTCCCACCCCACTAGAATTAGAAAACGGAATAAATTACCGCTCCCCGTAATTAAATTACATTTCATCTAGCAGTATATTAATTTATAAATGCGACATATTAATCCGAACTTTCACACTGGAACTTTAATAATTGACTAATCAAATTATGAAGTATTATCTTCACCTGTATATTTGGGTTCTCTCCAGGGAACTCACAATATATAATTGTCCGTGGATTAACAAACCTTGACAACTGCAGCGCTATTTATTCGTTGACACCAAAATAAAAATCTTTGTCACCCACCCACCTACACTTTCAATGCTGATCTCCATGTTACACTTAGAAATTAGCATTGTTTATTACCGATCCTAATGTGTACATATTTAGCTAGCCACTGAAACCAATCTGCTCTGCGAGCCAGGGTATAGCAATGGTTCAGTAGGCAAACTTACGGAAGAAGATTCCCATGAAAGTGTGTTCGTACTTCTCATAGGAATACCGGGAGTATTATGAAAATGGAATCTAGTAAGGCTCTGACGATGGCTTAGGGCCTCCGTCCCTGACAATGACACACTACGCGGAGTCTACATAAACCGGGCTGCTGCATAAACATCACCGATTTATACAGTCTGTCGTAATCCGTTTTATGCACTGTGTGACTTAAGTACAATGCAGTCTTCGTTTACGTTCATTTAAACTCACGATATATTTCGTACGCACAGGTCCACCATCATTAGTACACGTACATGACGATTTTCATAAATTGCTACATTTTACTGGGGGGCAAGCGGTAGCGTAGTTGGATGAGGCACTATGCTACAAGCCGGAAGGTCGCGGGTTCAAATCCCGATGAAGTCATTAGATTTTTTAATTGTTCCAGCCTCACTATGGCCCTGGGATCGACTCAGCCTCTAACAGAAATAAGCACCAGGAATCATCCTGGGGGTGAAAGGCGGCCGGCGCGTAGGGCTGACAACCTTGCCGCAAATCTATGAGCTAATTATGTAGAAAATGTGGGAACCTAAACATCTCGCAACTCTATGGGCCTCCACGGCCTATTACAGGGATACCTTTACTTTATTTTTTACTGCATTATACTTTAATACTGTACCTTTCGATATAATGTATAATATTCGATTTGATTTTCGTGTAAAGAAAGGCTAGATCTATATTAGAGAGATATGGTCCAAAACCAAATGCACAGCACAAAACAAAAAGTCTCCAGTACCAAATTTAATCCAAATCTGTTCAATAATTTTATCGCGTGAAGGGACTCGATCTCTCCGTTTATCTTGTGCAAATAAGGTACAAAAGCTGACGGAGGCAGCTGCCTCCTTTTTCGTAACAAATATCTGAGAGAGCCCAGGTACAGCATAATAACGTTTAGGTTATACAAAAGGGTTAGTTTCGTTGTTTACCTCTTTTCGTTTGTGCAGCCCAGATTTCTAAATTTGCTGTGTGGATGGACAGGTGGAGTAGTTAAATATTTGTACAGTTTATAATTTAACAAAGCAAGGGAATGGTTTTTAAATTGCCATATAATTTTGCTGTAAAACCTGTCTTTCTAAAATTTCAGAAATTCGGCAAAGACTGCAACTGAATGGACTAAACCTGGCACTCGTTCATGGTGATATGGCAACATGTTGACAGAAACTATGAATACAACAGAAATAGCACAAGTTCCTCTACAGGTAAGTAAAGGAATTAATCTACAAGTAAATGTAGATAAAAGTGAATATGTTGTGTCGACACGATACGTAATTAGAATCATAATACAACTATGTGCCTAATCTGTAACAGTTCATTTAACAATATGGATGCCTAGAAACAACACTATTAAATAGAAATTAAATTTGTGTTGAAATTAGGAGGACAAATGCTGGATATGCTTGTTACTAGGCTTAAAATTATCATGCCTTTGCTTGCGAGAACGCTGAAGTTCGTTATAGTATATACGTATAAAACAGTAATTTACCGGCCTAGAAAACCGAGATTAACGGCGGTGGGATCCGTTGCGCTGACCAAGTGACAATTTCTATCCTCAAAAGCTGGCACTAACTTCGCCGACAAATGGCGGTGGCTCGGTCGGTATAGTTCGCTTGCGGACTACAGGACACGGAGTTTTCTTCTTTGTTTTATTACAATAATTTTGTTCGTTCTTTTGTATGGGCTTGAAACGTAGTCATTACTTCGAGGGGAAAACATATGGCGTATTACAACTGTGTGAAAAATTGCTTAAGAAAATTACTAACCTAAGAAAGATAGGTAAAAAAAGTAGGATGAAACATAGGCCTAACGAGGGTGTTCGCGTTCCATGCGTGTCGCCTAGTATCGATATTCTGTTACATGTGGACTCAAGGACAGCACCACGAGTCTAGAGTAAGGCATGAATTCTTGTGAACATCTCGGAGAAAGTGCACTGAGAAGACCGGGAAGAAGATGAAAGAAAAATTTTAAGATGGGTTACAGGGAGATGGTAGATGGAAGATACTGGTTCAATGTTGTGAGTTACTGCGGGATTTTATAGGTGTGTCGAACATTTGCTTTTGCCCTCACACAACCTGTTAATTAGTTGGTCGTGAATTCTTTCAAGAGAAAATCACTCCATGCTTTCAACAGGCACGGCACGTCTGATCCTACCTCATCACTATCTCATATGAGTTCTCACCGACAAGGCTGTTGTGGCCGGTGATCCCGGCGTTGTTTACGAGGACGTCCACGCCTCCTAAGCATGTTTCGATCCATCGAAATGTCTCCAGAACATCATTCTCATGGCGCAAATCACAAATTCTCGGATATAATCGCCCGTAGACCTCGTCTTTCGTAGCCAATTCCTGTACAATTAAAATTTGCTTGCGTTACTTGCTGTAAGACCAAGCAGATATGTAACCATAGTAAGGATTTTCTTTGCAAAACTTTTTCTATATACAAATATTCATCTTCTCTGCTTGTACGCATTACTTTAAGGAACACAAAGATTCGAAACTGAGCTCACGAAACCCGCCATTTGGCTCAAAACTCAACCAGATTAATCCAGCCCACAATTTTACACCATGTTTCAACACGATAGATTTTAATACTGTCGTCACATCTATGCTTATTTCTACCGTATGATCTTCTCTTGGGCCATCTGATTAGAATTTGGTATGCATTTATTTGTTTCTCATCCTAGGTACATGGCATTGCAATCTCATCAGTCAGCCTATGGAACCTGGGGGAAGGGAAGTGAAGGCACAAACTGTGAAGATCACGAAGAAAGCAGTCTTCTGGGATTTTGCACCGTGTATATGTGGTGTTAACCGACGTTTCGGAGGAATTTACCGGTTCTCACGGTCTCTTTGCTTGCAGAGTTCTTATATATTGTGACATGTTGCGCAAGGAGAACCCCCCCCCACCAGCAGTGATGCGGCGGGTGAGTCGGCGCTCCCCTCCCCCTCCTCCGCACGGTAACGTAACGGTGACGCAACAGGATTGTTATGGTAGTAACAGCGGTTACTACCGCTAGCGTTACTAGCAACACAGCGCCAGGCAACAAGGGTGCTTATTACGTGGCCGTTTTCCGTATGGTCCGATCAAGGCTACATGGGGAGCAGCGAAGGCTATTCACAGTCAGTTGTACTGTGACAGTCGCCGAGTGTGTTATCAACAGTTCTCAAGGCAGCAGCCTGCGAGTGTGCGATAACTAAGAAGTCAGCGAGCGGAAGACTTATTATGTGCTTTCAAGACATAGTGAGTGCTGTAGTACAGTTATAATTGGAGTGTGTAATTCAGGGAGGCTGGTATAGCTCCCGCGTTATTAGTACATGGATACAAGTGAAGATCGTGTTAAGAGACTTTGTTGTAGGGTTTGTAAAGTGTGGAAACCCGTAATATTGTGATAATTGTAGCCGTTATTTGTAGATTGTTAAATAAACCAATTAACCATCTCTACGGCGTCTTCTGTAACGAAACACGTTACAATATATTTTCTTCTACCCTGAAGATGGAGGCGATACGTTCCTCCGAAACGTCGGTTAACACCACATGTACACGGTGCAAAATCCCAGAAGACTGCTTTCTTCATAGTCACCGCCGTGAAAGCCTCAAATCTTACATTGTGAAGATCACATTAAAATGAAGAAGGAAACAGGATGTGAGGGTGTGGGCTAGATTTATCTGATTTGAGGTATCATCGGGTTAATGTGAATATTAACATTCATATTCCATAAGAGGATGGGAAAGCTATAACGTTGTGAACTTTGAGGTTCACACGGCGTTGAGTGTCTTTTGGCATGCGACGCAGTGTAGATGGAACAAAGTCCGATTTTTCGGAGGAAGGGCAAGATACCAGCTGAAGCAGACGTCGAACTGACGGTTTCTTGCTTAGCTTACTCTTTGATCCTGAAGATGGATCCGATATGTTACTCTGAAACATCGGGCTGTCTACGAACTTCATGGCGTTACAAACCGGAAGACCGCACACTTCACAGTCAGTCACAGCCGTGGGAACCTCAAATTTTGTTCTTCGTGAACATACCTAGAGGTCTTACAACCTCTTCCTTTAAAGCTGGAGGTGTTCCTGACGTTTCCCTCTTTTCTTAGGTCGTCCAGCAACCCGTCGTCCGCAGGGTTGGTACTGAAAACCTAATATCCTTAAACAGCTTCAGCCCTTTTTTTCCATGTGGTCTAGCCAGCTCTTTTGATATAATTTATGTCTTATATTAGGTTGTTTACTTTTAACCTGTTACGGATGTCAAGATTTCTCTAGCGGTCCAATTTAAAGAAGTTTACATGAATCGCATTTGTGCACTTTATATGTATTACCTGTAATTTCAGATTCGACCGTAAGGTGTCGTTTGCATACACACCTGGAGATCGTCGATGTTGCGGTCAAGAACAACAACAATCAGACCAAGTTCAAGTAGACGCCGAGTGATGGCAGCACCTATTCCAGAGTTGCCACCGGTTACTAGCGCCACTTTACCAGCCCAACGGAACTCCGACATAATGTTCTGCAACAAAGGTCGACTACATATCACACGCAGAAAGGAATGGGATGCTTCTACAGCAGGGGGCTCCAAACTTTTCGAAACGCGGGCCACATTAGATAATCCAGCACTTTCTACGGGCCGGATAAAATGAGAAATTAATAACTCTAGGTATATGAGTTTTATTGAAAGCACAGAATTTCATAAACTAAATACAAAGTACGTGAGAATAAATTATCGTATATTAATGACAACAGACAGTAGCAACAAATGCACATATTTTCGTTACAAATTATAATAAAACAGTTAATGTGAATGATGGAACTCTTTTTGCATTCTTAAAATTTGATTAAATTGAGGTTCAAATTTTGAAACGCTAATCAAGTAGCAACTGTAAAGGTTCATCGGATAAATTTGGCCTGTATTTCGACTTGATCTACTTCATCTGGAAAAAAGGTTGTTCACACAGATATGTCGTCCCAAAATGCAGATAAATTTACAAGCAAAAATTTCTTTAAATTTGGAAATTGCTCAGAGTTCAGAAATTTATAAAATTCGATCAAATTTCCTTCCTTGTATTTGTCTTTAATATGATAATTTTCCTGAAGTTCAATAATTTCCATTTGAATGTGACTTGGGACATCTGCA